CCCCAAAACCCCAAAACCCCAAAACCCCAAAACCCCTACAAGGGTTAACAACATTGAAATATATTTATATGCAGATTACTTTTTCTTAATGGTTGCTCCAGCGAACATTCCATCCTTAACTTTCCTTTTATCTTGCTTTTTCTTCTCGACAACAGTTCCGAAACTCTTGACAGCTTTGTCTCTGAACCTCTTATTAATCATCTTAGGATTAAGCTTGATGTATGCGTATGGCTCATACTGTCCGCTCTTGAGGATATCACTCTTTCCTCCCTTTCCTTTAAAGGAAGATCCAGATTGCTTGATAAAGTGACCTTCTATATAAAAATTAGCCTACTGAAATGGGAAATCTTACCTTTGCTCTTATCATTCTTTCCTTTATTCACATATTTCATTGGTACAAAGTCATCAATATCTTCTTTCTCGTTAACTCTCTTTCTCTTATGGACACTCCTGGCTTTCTCCTCAAGATCGATCATCTGCCTGACTTCCTTGGGGAGCACTTGGTTAATGTACTCATCTCTTTCAACTCTCTTCCTCTTCTGGGCTTGTTTGACTTGTCTCTCGTTCTTCATAGTATCCTTGACTACAAACTTTCTCGTCTTCTTTTCATAGAACAGGTCATCTTCACCATCTACTTCTTTTCTGTTTCTAATACGCTCTTCACGGTCGATTTGCCTCTTGTTAATCTCCTCAAGTCTCTTCCTCTCTGCTTTACGCTTCTTGACAAGTAAGATAGGGTTGTCATAGAAGTGGGAGGAGAATTCATCGTCAACTGTTTGGAGAACCTTCTCTACTTGTGCTTTCCTGTCTGGTTTCTCTCCTTTAGTCTCTTCATCATTGCCAGCCTCGATCTCTTTAAGATGCCTGACAACTGGGATATCAAAATCAGCAATATTAGCATCCCTCTTGGCATACTCCTCATCATCGCTATCACTCTCACTGCTCTCATCGTCAGAATCCTTAAAGTCGTCAACTCTCTCTCCTTCAATAAGTCTATCTCTTTCCCTCTCTTCTTCATCGTCCATAACCACTTGTCTTGACTTCTTCAGCTGTTTGGCTTCTTTCTTGATCATCTTTTCAACATAGTCGACCAAGGCTGCTTCAGAGTCGGGCACGAGGTCTTTGACTGTGGCCTTGCCGAGCTTTTTGATGAACTTGCCGATGATGTAGCGTACGTAGATGTTGAGTTTTTGTCTGCCTTCGAAGGAAATTACTGCTGGGAGGACCTCACTACTGAGAGCAGTGAGGGATTCAAGCGAGATGATTGATAAAAGGACTTTTAAGCATTTTAAAACAGATTTTTGGAGCTTGGAAGAGGTCTGTTTCAGGAATAAGAGGATTATTTTAGTAATTTTAACGAGGTTGGTCTCTGTGAAGTCGCTAGAGTTTGTTTTGAGGACTTTAGTGAGGATTGTGAGGGTAGATGCTCGCGTGTCGACGGTATCTCCAGCAAAACCTGCTAAGAGTTTCTTAAGGAACTCATTAAAGTGATTTCTGCATAGCTTAACAAGGTCGATTAGAAGAGATTCAGAGATCTTCTTTGATTTAGCTTGAACACTATAAAATCCAGTAATAATTTCTGGGAGGATAGTATTAATAATCTCTTGTCTCTGTTCATCATTAACCTCGATCTTCTTCATTTCTTCTTCTGGATCATCCTCGTCAGAGTCCTCAACAGGGTTATTAGCGAGATCATCATAATCATTCTCCATCTTATCATCTTCCTTCTTTGGCTTCTTAATCTTTGAAAGAAAGATTTTCAGCATGTAAAGTTTTTGTTTTTGTTGTGTTGCTGAGAAAGCATATCCAGTGAGCTGAGAGAATATATCACTAAGTTCCTCATAAGAAGTAACTTCGTAGCTCTCCAGAATAATAGACAGGATCTTGAAAGCCTTCTTTTGTGTGATCTTAGACTTCGCAATAGAATCAGCAAACTTGATTATCAGCTCACAATGTCTCTTAGAGAGCTTGATTCTCTCCATAAGGCAGATAATGATATCGATCTTACGAAGAATCTTCTTCTTTGTAGCTTCATTCTCTATATTTCTCAAAGTTTTGGCTTGCTCGTCAAGTTCCATGGATTCGTCTTCTTGGAGTTCAGTCTCGAAGTTTGTGAACTCTCCTACAATGTTGGTCAGCTCATTGAAGAAGAGGTCGTATAGCTTAGCTCTCTTTGCTAACCATCCAAACTTGGAAATAGTCTTCAACAATAAGGTATGCTCATTCTCTCTAATGCTTGAAACTGCTGAAGCTTTTTGAGTGTCTACAGCCTGTAAGTACAATTCAGAGAAGGAGTTTATGTAAGTGACTGCTTTCTTCATCATAAAAATTCTTGCCTTCTTGATCTTCAGATCTGTCTTTGGAGCACCCTTCAAGAAATCTATCAGTGCACAGTAATTCTTAAGAGTAATGATCCTAGCTGAAAACAAGTTCTTTTCAACAATCTTGTCCATATTTTTGAGCAAAACTTGAAGGTAAGTGGCGTCTTCAAATCCGTAGTCTCTGTAATTACCGAGATAGTTTGGCATGATTTCCCAAATCTGGCAAATCAAGGTCTCGTATTTCTTCACCTTGATCTGCTGCTTCTCCTTCAGTGCTTCCTTACGAGATTTCATCAAGAGGTCTATCAATGGGAAGAAATTCTGCACATAGAAATCGATTGACTCGTTCTTCACAAATCTCTTAATGACTCCAATAAGGTAAGATCTGGAATCTAGGGAGTAAGATTCAGAGTTGAGATCATAATCGAGGAGTTTCATTGGAACTGTGGTAAAGAACAACTCACTTTTGTACTTCTCCAAGAATTTCCCTTGGCATTCAGTCCATGCTTTGTATCACTCTCTCTTAATTCCAAGATCGCCGAGTTTGGTAAGCAGATCGATACCTCCGAATTCGGTGGTTTTCTCAGCTCCAATGTTGATGAACTCTGAGATGAGTTTGATAACTTCAGAATAGCAACTCTCAAATCTAGAGTTCAGGCAATACTGGAACATCATGCAGATTTTCTTCAAAGGATGAATTTTAGTGTTCTCATCCCTGATAGTAAGCAAGTCAAAATTGAGATCTCCCAGTTCAGTATTCTTGCTCTCTTCAGTTTGGACGAAGTCTGATTTTGACAAAGTATGCACAATAATGTTCTTAATAGCAGTGAAAGCTCCCATTTTGATTCGATGAATTCCACTGATAAGGAACTCAGAAAGAATCGATATCAGAGTTGGCAGGTATTTCAGCACATTGTTATCTTCGCACTTCTTGTAATGAACTGCTACTTGAGCTACTGCTACACAATAACCTGCGATCATCAGTTCCCCTTCGTTCTTCATATTTCTTGTGTCAGTAGCTACAGGCACATTTTTCAATAAATAGATGAGGAATTCCTCAACAAAGCCTGTTGATAACTTAGTCGCTGCGAAAATAGTCTCAATTACAAAGTAAATATGCTTCTTCAAGACCAGATTATCTATTTCAGAATATTCTGCTAGCTTTTTCACAATATTTGGAGAAATAGCAACTGGGATCACACAATTAATGAAGTTTAAGCAATTGATAGCCCTATACAGTTATTAAAACAAGTACCTGGATTTATTTACATCTGCTTGATCTAGAACTTTTACGATACCTTTCTCAAGTTCATTCATAGCTTTGTTAAAGTAAGATGGGTCTTTCTGATGGCAAATGACCATGAAACTTCTGATAGCCTGTCTCTTGACAAGGTCCTTGCTATGTAATCCAAAGTGGAAGAGCCTCATGAAGATATTAATAGTCTGCTCCTCATTTTTCCATTGGTCCTTGGTCTTACTTTCTAACAAAAACTGGAGCACGACGGAGCAATACTTCAAGACAAGAGTATTTGTAGTGTTCTCAATAACAGTATCGATGAATTCATAGAGAAGATCACTAAGCTTAGCTACGACCTCAAGAGGGACCATTGAAATGACTGCGCTGAGGGCATATATGTATCCTTCGTCCTTCACTTGAGTGATTTTCTTAAAATTATCTCTAACACTCATCAAACACTCCAAGTAATCCATTGGGCCGGGATGTGTTTTCCCCTGTGCCTCCATGGCTTCCTTACAGCTCGTCACTATCGTAAAGGCTGAGAGGTAGAGTGGCTTTTTCAGTTTCTGGAGATTTCTGAATCTCTCATAGACACCTAAAACACGCTGTTCCATATTAAAAACTAAATTTATTTATAAAAATTCAATCTCGAGCTGCTCTTCAGGGGTTTTGGGGTTTTGGGGTTTTGGGGTTTTGGGG